AACAAGAGTTCAACTATATTACTAGACTGTAGCAGATAAAATTATGGTAAATAATATATATTGTTGTATTATAATGAGAATCCACATGAGGGTTGAAGAGAGATAGGCATTAGGGATGTCCAGCTCTGGGAAATATCTGTTAGTAATTGTGCTGCCTGAGACATCAGAGGATCTGTCACCTGGCCACAACACAGCAATAAGCTCAGCTTTGCTCTTTCTGCTTGGTTCTTAAAGCTTGGGGACTTCTCAAATTCCCTGATGGTGCAGGTCTTAAAAATTCCTAAGTAGTTACATCAGGTATTTATTTTTACATTGGAATACTGCTGCATTTTTCTTTCTGGAACCTTGAGTTTCAGGAGCTTCCAGAAGCTATTTGGAGCTTCACCTCATGAGTATGATCAGTGACTGCTTTCCAGGAAATGGTTTGCATTTTCAGAAGGGTTATGTTTATACTTAACAAGATGGACAAAAGTCTCTTCTCTGGCCCTAGAGTCAAGTGACAAGACATGGCTTGTGTTTTTAACATCAACTCCTTACTCTGAAACTGAGTGACCTGGTTCATTCTGGTCCTTGGCCTGAGCCTCCCCTGCAGTTTGCCTAGGTCCTGTCTAGGGTTTTTATCAGCATGATGAGGGCCAGTGCAGTGTCCAGGAATATGTTCACAACTGAGCATTACTGTCCTGGCCTTCTTTATGCTAGCAATGCTGTAGCAGGAACACAGATACTGCAGCTAGGTATATTCTGTACCACTGGGAGGCAAACATGGGAGAGAGGATTGATTGTGTTCTAATCAGTCACCTGGACCAGGACATGGGCTGGCTTGGATTGTATCAGGAGCCTGCTAGGCCATCATCCCTTCAGCAAACTGCCCATGCCAATATGGAATAAAATTCTTTGAAAATCAAATACCAAAGGTGTAAGGAGAGAAGACAAAGCACTCTCACATGATTAATAGTATTCTCAATCATGTTCATAATTCCCTTAAATATACATGGTACAATCATTAATACTAACACTATTACAAACAACATGGTAACTCTCTGGACTAGAATATTTTTTAACTATAGGCTAGTTCATTTAGTATATGTCCATTTTCCTTTAAATATGATCCTACAGTGATGCATCATCTTTATGACTGTAACAGATCTTTATCAAAGTCCTTTTCAGAGAGAAGTAGTATATTGAATGTCTGCCCCTACCAATGTTCTGCTTAGCACAGTTGAAACACAGCCTTGAAAAGGAGCAGCCTGGTATAAACTGCTAATGCAAAGGCCTAGAAAGCCAAGAGGAATAAATTACTTCTTCCATGTTATAATGCAAGGATCAGAACTGCAGAGTACTTTCTGAGAGAGTTGTGGGGCTTCCAAAGTCTGTTCCCTATGTTCCGTCAACAAAACCTATAAAAACCTGTTAAATACTTTATCACGAAAGGTAAAAGGAAAGACAGTTGTAACACAACAGCAGAGGTTCTGCAGTAAGTCCTCTTCCCTCTCTCTTTGACAAAGGCCTGCTTCCCTGGCAAGTAGCAGATCTGTGTTAACTTCAGCTCTAGTGTGTCTGTTGACACTCTAATTTGTGGCACTGAACAACTGCAGTTTAGTCATACTTAGTAAGGCAGTAGTTTAAAATTCACACTATAGGAACACATGATGGTTATCATTACTCCATTTTTCACTCTTGCTTTGTACTTGGCAGTCTGAAGATCTGGTATATGATGTCTTTTAGGAATAACAGGTAGAAACCCTGCACCTCTTTGCAGTACAGATAAAATGACTATCATATATTGTTTGTGTTTGACTTAGTTATTCCTGGGATCTTGGCAAGTATTGCAGCAGCTTGTGCTTAGCTAAATCTTTCCAGTAGCTCACCATTTCCTTGCACATTGTGTGTTGGTAGCTGAGCCTACTTAACATTTGTATTGCCATGTGTTGTGTGTAGTTGAGCCATATCAAAGTTGGAAATGAAAAGCACTTTACAAATACCCTCTTGTTCCTCTTTATGCGTATAGACTCCTTTCCAAAGGTATTTATGAATGATCACCTGGCTTTCAGAATACTCCTTTATAAGAGAAGTAGAAAAAATATGCAGAAAGCTATTATCTGTTCATTTGGGGGTGGGAGGGTGGGGCATGGTGTTGGGGCGCTCCCCTCTGGTTGTGATAAATGATAAGAGACAATTTGTACAGTCAGGACCTGGCTATGTAATGTGCATCTTGCTTGGTAGGATGCTTAGGTTGGGTATCAGAGTATGTATTATGATAACAAACAATGTACTGAGGAGATTTTTCCTTCTAGTTAATGTAGTTTTAAAAGTATAAAGGAGTCAGAGTGAATATTTTTGTGTGTAGCAGAACATCCCTTTGGAATGTACTTTCAGCATTTATTTTTTTCCTATTTAATGGCCATATTTTAGTTAAGCATTTTTAACACATGCACAATTAGTTTCTGACATTTTGTGTAACATGCTGTTGAGAAGCAGATATAAATCTTGGAATAAGGGAAAAATGCTGCTTTCATTAAAATGGCTGTAAGCTTTTCTTTCCTTCAAGTAGCCAAGGTGACTGTGTTCTTGCAGTGTGTTTCTCTCACATTTGCCCTTTGTTGCTTATTTGCAATGCTAAAGATGCTTCATTATTTTCCTCCACTTTTTTCTGTGCCTTATTCAGATCTCTAACAGTTTCTGTAATATTGTGTCCTAAATTTTACATGGTTTTCCCAAAGGGAAATGGTGACCATAACACAGGTGACCCTCCTCCTCTTGATGGCTCCTAGTACTACCTCCCATGTTGTGTTTTCTTTCATAACTATTCTGCTGTTGCCAGACAAAGTTCGATTCATTTATCACCCCCATATCAGTTTTCTGATGTGTTGTCCAGTAATTTATGACTGTTTGGAGCTTTGGTACTAATTACAGTGCCCAGTGACCCCTGTGACCCTCCTCCCCATGCACGCTCTGCCACCTTGGCCCTTGGGCCAGTTTGTTGAAGCCACAAATTGCAGTGCATATGTCCATAACAAGGCATTCAGGCTGAGAAGCAAGAGCTCTCTTTGACCCACTAATAGGGAGTATCTACAATTTAGGCAACAAGAAGCTGATTGTGCAGATAAACAGATGCTGAGGGTACGATTCATATGTTGTGTTTGACTATGTAGGTAGTGAGGTGTTGCTGATACTGTGATGAGCAATAGAGAATAGTGTAGGCAGGTATACAGCAGCTTGAGGAGAATATTGTAAATGAAACACTAAGTAGCTTTAATTCCAACTCAGTGGAATTTCCCCCAGGTTACCACATTTCACAGGGTGGGGACTTCATCCTGCTGGTGTAAATACCAACTGAATTACACTGCCAAACTGTGCATGGGCTGGTGCCCTGGGCAGATAATGCTGCTGATATTTGTGAAGGCATGTCAGCAACGTGCTTTCTTTGTTCAGTGCTTTTGGTGGTACTAAAAATATTAATTATGAAGATATGTCTTTTCCCTCTCACCTTTTCATCTCCTGAGAGTTATATTTAAGACAAAATATTGTGAACACTGAAGGAAGGTGCAGAATGAGCAGCATGGGAGAAGAGAGTTGTTTCCTTTCTGATGACTTTAATAGTGTGAACCTGTTAATTTTTCAGATTATAATTGATTTTATATTTATTTGCTGTAGCTTAGATATTTGGTATACAATTACAATGTGAGTTATATAAAAATATAGAGTGCATGTAACAGCATGTAGAAGCTTATAAAATAAAAGTTGAAAATAAATCTGCAATTAGTTTTTGAGCTTCAGTCATTTGTTGCTGAAAAAAGAAGGACTGTAACTTCCCAAAAATACATTCCTTCCTTGATGCAATGTAGAAGGATCCAACATTGTACTTCCTCCTTAGAATTTCTGGGGAAATGCATTTTGCTGCCAACATAAGATGCTTTAACAGGTCTCCTGCTGGTCAGACCTTGTGTCCTGCTGTGACAGCCATGACCATGTGTGCAACTGATTGTTAGTGGGCGATATAAATCTGATTGGAACATGCCTGTTAATTGGTTTGAGAGCTCAATATAGACAATGCTGTCTTGTAGCAGATTGTGTAGATAGCCCTAGTCATAGGGTTAATTCTGCTTGACAGCACATCAGCAGCATCTTGAATAATTACCCAACTTAAGTTTTCCCACAGTTGAAGTGAGACCTTCAAAGGCTTCTACATTTACAAGTATTATTAACCGATATCTGAAACATGATGTTCCCACAAGGGCTAATTTTTTCTTCCTTTTATTAAATATACAGGTTATAGGGTTCATTTGCTAAGAGCTAAGTCCTTAGAAGAAAACACTACTTGTTAGAGAGAGAAAAATCTGCAGTGCAGGACCAAAGCTAATGGTGCGTAAAGCACACATCATTGTCTTTTTGCAAAGACTTTAAAACAAGTTAAAATTTGGGTCTGGCTCCCTTCCTCTCTCCCACCCCCCACTTTCCACTTTTAAGAAAATCAAACCACTTACTCCTATGTGCAGAATGAGTAAATTGAAGACACGCACAAACAAAAACCTCCTAGGATGTTGCACAATTAAGTACAGATCATTGACTACAATACATATGACATTAATGAAATGTATCTGCTTCAAAAATAGATTGGAAACATCCATGAATGAGTTAAATCCTCCTAATGACTTTTCAAAAATGAAAATGAATGGAAACTATTTAATTCATACAAACAACTGTATGCTATGATTCACAGTATATAATTTAATCCTAATTCAAATTTATATTTTATTTTCTTCATTTAGTGATCTGCCTTTCAAAATATCTTCTTTGTAACTACAGCATATAAAACAGTAAAATATTAAAGATAATAGTCATTATTTGGGCTCAAATGCCTTTGAAGGCATTAAATGTTAATGTACAGAGTTAGCCAGTCTGGTTAAAGATGGTATTTGCTGGAGGGATCAGTCTGACAAATGGCTTTTATGGCATAAAGCAATTCTTGTAACTTACGATCTTTTTATTTTCTTTTTCAGGTCAGAAACAAAGTTTGACTCCAATTCAGGTATGTTTACATTTACAGTGTTTTACTGAATGTCCACTATTCGGGTTAATCTCAAAAGAGTAGTTTATCAGTTCAAGTTCAGCTTAGTTTTAAACAAACTGGGGTAGGTCAGCCTTAAAAAGGATCTTCATTTCTCACCCTCTGAAAACAGCATTGATTGTTACTGTGAAACATTTGCTTTCATTCCTTTCATTAGTTCCATTCTCTTTACATTTTCCCAAAAGATGATAGAGAAGATGTATCTTACAACAGGCTTCAATTGATCCAGAAAAATTGTAATACAAATAAATGATAATACAGACTAAATCAAATGGAGGATTGAAGTTTGAAAATGATCACTGCAATAGAGCAAATGGTTTTCTTCCTGGTGGACAAAAACATTTCGTGGGAATTTGAAGTCAGTGCAGCCTCTCTGTCAGGAAACAGATGATTTGTCATCAAATTTTCGTGACAGATGCAGGTACACAATGCATGCCAGACCAGTCTGTAGAGCTCAACTGAGGAGGATTACCAAAAGGCAGTCTCTCCCAAGATGTCTTTATAAAGAATTGTAATGTGTTGTAGGAACTGGGAGGGAAGTGAAGGTCAGCCTAACAGGTTAATGTATATCTAACAAGACAAAAAACGCAGGACAGCAAACAGGGAGACTGTTACTTATTCAGTTCACTATTCCTAGGTGTTCCTTAAAGTAAAACAGTAATAAATTAAGAATAGGCTATTGTCCTGAAGCTAGGTGAAATGTCCATTGCTTGAAAAGGTAATTCAAAACACATTTTTTGTTAAGATGAAAAGTCTGTTCTAAACAGGAAACCTGATATTATTATGGAAATTTTGGTTTTAGACTAATGTTATCTTCTATATAGTTTGCTTAATGCTGTGATTATAACTGTTTATAATGTTATGAATTTTAAAATGTATATTAATCAGGTTGTTTATGGAATAGTAAGTTTCCTTTTATCCCAGTTCCTTTATTCCATTATTCCAGTGGGCTTGAAATGTGAGGCATTACATTGCTTTTTCTTTCTACATTAGATTTTATCTTTGGAACTATATAGAAGTGAAATCTACAGCAGGAAGCATTTAAATAGCCAATGCCTACATCTTTTACACTTGTGTCATCTTGCTCCTATTATGATTTTAGTCTGTGAGTTTGACGTTACTTGCTTTAAATATTTCTTTAATAAACTCTATGCTAAGATTGATTTTTGGATCTTGACAAAACAGAGGGATTGCATGAGGGACAGCTTCACACATTTTCTGCCATTACCCCCTTTATTTTAGTGCAGTTACCAAAACTAGGGTGTGGAGCAGAATGTCACATGTCTGCTTCTGTGCTAAAGGAAAAATGCTCTCTGCAGAGCTTCACTTTGCTTGGTGGCTTAAGCTACAAGTAGATTTCTGAGTCTCTTTTGAAGCAGTTCTCCTGTGAGGTACACCGTTCTGCCTGCCACTCCCTTGGCAGCAAAGGCAGGGACATGGCTTTCCCGAGGCTAGTGGTAAAAGTTTGGCACCATTGCAGCTGTGGTGTGCTCAGCACATGTCACCAGGCCTTTCTGCCCTGGGCTCCTGGTCCCATTTTAATCTTTGCCCCAAACCCTGTACTTGGGACAGAGAATTACTAAGGTTTAACACCTCGGTCTCATCAGTGCTGTGTCTCTTGGCACAGGTTTCAAGGGTATCTTGGTTGTAAAGATACCCTTAACAACCAAGGCTAGCTGTTAAAACCAAGCAACAACAAGGCTCCAAACCCCCTTATCATTGTGACAGGTACAGCTGCCTTCTCTTCACAGGAAGAGCACTCAGTTCTTCCACCAAGAAGCTGATCCTGACAGTCAGATGGCACAAGGACTCTAAGTTTCTCTTTTGTTCCCAATATGTAAGAGCAGAGGAGAAGTGAAGATACTGGCACCATCTGGTTTTGTTTCCCAACCAAAGAACTTGCTATAACTTTCCCAAAGCAGACAATAATCCCAGACCTCCTGCTGAGTGAATGCACCCTGTTCACTCAAGGTGCATGGGTGATGGCATCCTTGTAAAAAAACCCCTCTTTTGTGTCTGGGGGTGCAGAGCCCTGTGTAGCACCCTGTTCTGCATTACACAGGCCTTTGGAAAGTGTCAGTGTAGTGTTGGTTTAAAAAGGGCTGCTGGCATCTGAGTCTGTATTTATGCAACCTCAAGATTCTTGGAGACACCTTAAGGTATTTTCACATCCCTCATTTCATTTTGAATTCCCTAGACTGTCATTCCTAAGTAAAGTAATGATCCCACAAACTGGAACAAACATGCTTTGTTCCCATTTATCTTATGTTACTCAAAACAGTTCAAGTGTTGAACATGAGAATGAGGTAATTTTATTATAGAATACATTTTTTTTCCTAGGGAGTTGTTCCACAACTATTGCTTGTTCTAAATTAACCCCACTGTTAATTCCAGTTAACTTGCAAGTCTAGATATGCCCTTAATAAACATTTATCAATGCTATTATACTTGTCTTTCCTAGAAATATTTGTGAAGCATTGAAGAATTAGAGGAAGTCTTTCTAAAGCAAGTACAAAGTCAGAAATACAGCATTTAAAGTACCCAATAGGCTCACTGCAAATGTAACCCTGAAAATGTTGTTCTACACTGAAATATTAGACAAACACTGTCAAAAGAAGATTAATTGGAACTTGAGCATTAACTTAAAGGAAGGCTGCAAAATTCCTATGGTGATGATAAGGATTTATCATGCAAATAACTATAACATCTGTAAGGGACACACATTCTTCATATCATGACTAACAGCTCCATCTGAGAAACTTCTTTTTCTTTGCTAACTCTTTATAAGTCTACAGCTGGCAGGATTTCTGTCTCAGAGACCATGGGGTTAGCTTCACGCTGTTACAAGATCTTATAAATGAAACAATTTTGCTTTCCTGTCATACTATGATGAATTCTACTGGTACCGAAAATAGATTTTTTTCTAACAAAGTACTTGAAAGCAAAAACGGTTGTAGGAGAAATATTTCTTTTTCCTCACAATTTGTTGGAGAACAATGTAAACTACAAAAAAACCCACAGGTGAAACAATTTTGTTCTTATTATCAGTATTTTAGTGTTTAAAATGCTTATTGTGCTATGTGCTTGGTTAGAAGATTTCAGAATTTAAGAATATAAGAATTATATTGGAACAATTAATGGAAATAATTTGATAAATTTTTGCTTTTTTAAAATTTAGAGTAAATAGGTCTTCAGGGTGCTGTTCCCTAACAGGATGAACTGTAGGTCTCAAAAGCTGTTGCTGAACACTTTAAATCCCACCTTAGTAATATCAAAACAATCTAAGAAAACTACCTCAGCATGCCCCCTATTCACCAGGGAATGGTAATGGTGAATTTCCTACTACCTACTGGGAGGGCTGGAGTTTTCCTGGGGCATGTCCTCTACTACTTGCTGCATCCTGCACCCAGTGTGGAGGTGAGATCAGATATTCAAGTTAGAGTGTTCACAGTGAAATTGCGGGCAAAAAAAATCCGTTTTGTTCTGTGATAAAAGGAAAGGACAAATTCATGGACAATATGCAAGGACTCCAGTGGACTCTTTTTTGTGTATCTGTCACACAGACCATGGAATGTAGAAAGTCAGAGAGCACAGAGTGCAAGAGGGAGAGTCAGGGAAGCACCATGCTGTAGAAACATATCTGTGCACTGAAGAAAAAGAGTGCCCAAGGACACACAGTGCCTTCAGCTGTGTCCATCATCTGCTGTGCCAGCTTCACACTTCTCTCAAAAAAGAGACGTATCTCCGAGACCTGTTATTCTGTCTCCCTGCTTCTACATATCAAATGAAATGTAAAGATAATGTATGTGATTTATGCCACTGTTTGTGTCAATAATTTGGAAACATTCCAATTAGTATCAGAAATTAAGATATAATAGCTGCCCATGCACCTAGAGGCTGTCCTGAGGGACAGCTACACATGAGCTTTTGTTGGATTCCTACTGCCCCAGCAGTCAAATACAAAGCAAGTCAAGGAGCCCCCAACAGTTCCTGGAATTTCTTTTGCCTACCTTGTCTGGACTCACAGTGTCAGTCAGGGACTCTGAAGGTCATTTCTTCTCTCAGCACATTGCATTTTCCACCAGAATGAGTGTATTCCCATGTCTTCAGCACTGCACAATGCTGCCACCTCTATATCCCCATCAAGGTTCCCATCCTTTCCTTTCTTGTGTTTACTGGCATCTTTCCTTTAATGTGGCCACTATAATGTACAAACTTGCAAGGCTACATGATTCAGCACAGGTGCTAGAGAACAAATGAACAAAATTATAAGGCTGGAGGGGATCAGATGTTTTCCTCTCACAAATTCCTCTTGGCTACATTTCCAGATGTTCTGCAACGGGCTGTCCAAACTCTCTGTATCAGCCCTGATTTCCCTTAGCCTGTCATCAGTCCCCTTGTATGAAAATCATCAGTACAACTATTAAGAGTATAAGGAATCCTCCGCCCAAGTAAGAGAGAAATGGATACAAAAAGGCATTTTGAAAGTGAGTAATTTGCACCGACCTTTACTACCAGGGCAACACAAAAGAAATATAACTTGCCTATAACCTTAGGCTGACAAAGAAGCAAGGTACTTAATAAAAACATGCATTGATCTAACTCATCAAATATTTAAATACAGATTATGAAATAAGTTCCTAAATTTTATTGCTGTCAGCTTCTCCAGCCAGGTTGTGTTAGAGCAGTTCTTAATTTCTTCTTAGGAAGGCTAAGTAGTTTCAGAAACAGGGAGAAGTGATATTTGGTGTTCTTAACAAAATCATGCTGGCAAGTTCAACAGTCATCCTACAATCAGAGCATTTGATTTAAAAGTAGTAAAAGATCTCTTGCAGAATCTGTAAAAAGTGGCAAAATAAACTGTGATACTGAAGAACAGGGATGCTCCAGAGCTTTTTGGATGAGGTAAATGACCTCTTCAGGTTCTCTTTCAACTAAGAGGAATGATTTCCTTCTCTCTG